CACACATGATGACTAACAAAATAAATGTACAGCGTACATAAGTAATTAAGCAGTGCATTGACAAGGGAAGCTAGCTATCCGGATGCAAGACCCTTATATACCTATGCTAAACAATGCCAAGATATGCATTTCACAACCTGATGGCCAACAAGTACGCCGTATGAGAAGATGTGATGGAGAAAGACCATAGCTGGTGAATACCAGGGTTGTCACAAGCTAAATATGGTGTACTATGTACCTGCCAGGCATCTACATTGACTGACCAAGGTACCGAAGTGTACAGATCTTAAGCTTCGTGTCCTCCAGGAGTGAATGGGTGTGAAGCATCTAGAGACTCAACATCCTCGGTATCTGCCTCGCTGCCGGCGGTGGTCGAAGCTGTGGTACGATTCTCCGCAACCCAGGCACCGATCTCACGCAGAGCCTTTGCGGCATCACCTCGGCAGCCCTGAAGAAAGTTATGGATCTCAGCTGGAGAGAAGGTGTTGGCTGGTACCTTGCTCGCAAATTCAATTGCCCACTCATCAATCTGCTCAGTAGTGATACCAGGGTTTTGAACACACATTGCTCGGCCGATGAGACGCTTGAACATACCAACGCCTGCTTGGGTACCAATGTGTCCAAAGTACACCTTCTTGTCGATGCGGCCGGGTCAGGTAAGAGCTTCATCAAGAGCATCGGGATGTTTAGAAGTCATTATTAAGAGCCCACCTTCCTGAAAAGCGTTCCCGTCAATGGCGTTGAGGAGGCCACTTAGCGTGATAGCCACAGATGAGGACTTATTCCACTTCCGGTTCATCTGATCAAAACCTGGGTTGAAATCAAGATCAAGCTCCAGAGGATCCATAAATCGTGCTTGATCCTCCTGGGGTACTTGTTCACGACCAATTCCTGCAGAGTCGATGTCTTCGATTACGACAACGCACTTGCGGGGAAGACCAAGGAACAACCGGTGGAGCGCACTATCATTGATGTTCCCGGATGCGAGGTTGATATGGTAAATATCGCAACCAAGGTACCCAGCCAATGCAGCGCTGAACGAACTTTTGCCGGTACCGGATGGGCCATAGAAGAGATAGCTGTGATGATAAGAGATTCCGCAGTCCGCGAAGTATGAGCGTGACTCCTGAATGTAGTAATACTCGGCATCTCGAACCACATCTGCTTTGGTGACTTCGTCCATGTCGATAATGTCGAGCCTCCGCATGGCCTTGGACACCGACTGCCACCCGGACCCACCAAAAACAGGATCACGGGAACCGCCACTTGCGAAGTAGACAGTAGTGGTACCGGTTAAGCTCTTCTTCACAAAATCAACACATAGGTCTGTGAACTGTCGAAGAGGCTTCAGACTCCATCCCAGTGTCCATACTTGTCAACGAGCGAGCCGGCTCGCTCAGCTCGCTCGGCTTGGACGTTTTGACCAAGCCGAATGAGCTGAGCGCGCAGTGCGCGCTTGCAAGCCGAGCGAGCTTAGGGATAGGCGCTCGCTCAGTCAGCTTGCTTAGCTTGGTTGGATGGAGCGGTTAGAAACTTGGGGCTGAAGGACTTGGTGGAGAGGCAATCTCACGATGATTTTTAGGTGTAGTGCGTAAGTTCGAAACCTAGTTATAACCTAAAATACACTCTTTTTTGCTATATTTCTAGCAAATAAGCTACTAAATTTCCGGCTAACGGCCTAGCAACAATATTCTCCTTCTGCGACACTTCACTTACTACTTATCACCCACCACACTCACCTATACTCCACCAACGCGTCTCTATTTGCAGCTATTATCTACCTCGCCGTTGCTATAATGCTAGCAAAAAGAACACGCGTTAATGCTCTAGAAATCGCGACAACTTCGAAGCGCCCTAGAGTCGCAGCGCGTTATCGCGGGACTGCCAGCTAACCTGTGCTAGTCGATACTTAGCCATTCTCACTATCTCCACCTCCTCCACCGCTGTCGCCGCGTCAAGCTCTCGTCGCCGCGCCACAAGCACCAAATTTTGAAGCGACCCTCCGAGAGTCGCGCGCCGAAGAGACGATTATCCCACCACCTAAGGGCAGCGAGCATGCCACTGTTGCAGCTTTAGGAGCAGCTAGCGAGGCTGTCGACGAGGGTTTCGTATAGGTAGAGGACAAATACGACGGCTTTAATTGGAGTCGCTACCTAAAGCACTGCAAGCCGCCTACATTACTTTCGAACCGAGCAAGCTAGGTATACAGCCATGGCTATCGCATCGCCTTGCGCAGCAACGTCGCAAAAGTTACGTGGATCTGCCACTATTGCTATAAGCACAAGTTCACTACTGTTGGCCGTGGCATACATGACGTCTCGCAGTCTCTATCAGCGCCAGCACGTTATCTCGGAGAAGACAAGAAAGGTTATAGCTTGAAGCCTCTAAGTAAGCGCACTACCGTCGCTCCTTAGAAAGAAACTCTCCTCGAACGCGCCCTTTAGAAGGGCTGCTCTTAGGCTGTTACCAACGAGCTTACTAACTTTAATATACAAGAGTTTAGGCTTGCGGCCGTCACCTAGCTCGTCGAAAATAACCTCCCACTCTCACAATTCGAATTATCGTCTTTTCGCAATATAATACAATTAGCTAGCGTAGAGGCAGAACGAGCCTTGTGGGCATCTTATAACAGCGTCTTACGATACGTTATACGCTTGTACAACTACCTGTTACCAAAGGTTATCGTAAGCCTTTTAGAATTAATGAGCAAAGTCTATATAAGCTTTGACGGATAGACGACAAAAGGTGGCAAGCGTGGTTACTTAGGTATCGTCGCCTACTACGTTGATAACTCTGGCGAGCTCAGGGACTTGCCTATTGCGCTCCTACAACTAACAGGTGCCCACACTAGCGAGGCTATGGCTAAGGTCGTAATAGCAATATTTAAGCAGTTCGAAATTACTGTGGGCAAGCTCGGTTACTTCGTCCTCAATAACGCACATAACAACAACACTACGATTAACACTCTCGCCTTGCAGATAGGCTTTAGCGCTACTAAGCGTCGCCTTCGCTGCGGTCCTTATACGCTTAATCTTATTAGCTAGATGCTACTCTGGGGTGAGGAGAAAGAGTCCTACGATAATGAGGAGACTAAGCGCGTGAACGAAGCTGAGAACATAGCTACTTGGCGAGGCGATGGACCATTAGGAGTGCTTCTCGCGGTTATTAACTACATTAAAACACCACAACAGTACGCTCTTTTTAAGAAGTATTAGAAGCTCGCTATTAGGGACTAGCCTGTTAACGCGCCAACAGAACAGCACAAAATCAAGGAGCCTGTTAAGCTAGTTGTTACTCGCTAGAACTCTTACGTTTCGTGTTTTAAGCGCGCTGTTAAGTTGCAATTAGCGGTTAATAGGTACGCCAACTACTATATTTAGAAGATTGAAACTGAAGACGCGTACGCCCGAAGTCGTAACAACAAGCTACCTGCAGCGCCGGATTGGATGAGGTCTGATAGGATCAATGCCCATAACTGGTAGGTGATTGCTGAGTATATTGATGTGCTTAGGCCACTGAAACAAGCTACAAAACGGCTTAAAGGCCGCGGCAAAAGCGGTGCTTTTAGAGCAATCGCTGAGGTTATTCTAGTATTTAAATACTTACTTAGAGTCTATAAGGACCGCTTGTAAAGCTATAAAGACGTCATTCATAATGAGCATACAGAGTCACCTAAAGACCACCTTGCTATCAACCTTCGCGCTGCCCTAGTTAAAGCCCGCGAGTACTACAATAAGCTCGACCTCTCGCTAGCTTACTATGCTGCTACAATCCTTTATCCTCGCTACAAAAGCTACCTTAACGCAGCGTGGGCGGATAAGCCTAATTAGCTAGAGAGCAGCAACCGCAAGTTTCAACATTTGTGGGCGGAGTACAAAAGCTTACCGAAGCCGCGCTTACGCCCTAAAGTTCGGCACAATAATATAGACGACGCTATTAACAGCTTTATTAAGCTGGTAGGGCTTACGGAGAACGAGGAGGATAAATATAAGGCTTGGAAACGCAGCGAACCGATCGCTAGCGAGGGCGTTGACCCTATAAAATACTAGGTAGGACTCCGCGATCGCTACCCCAGCCTTAGCAAATTTGCTATCGACATGCTATCAATCCCAGGCTCAAGCTGTGAGTGTGAGCGCTTATTCAGCGAGCTGGGTGACCTCCTCGAGCCCCGTCGGCACAGCATTTCTCCGCAACTTCTAGCAGCAATACAGTGCGATCGACGATGGATAAGAGCTGGATTTGGCACTGGTGAGGTGCCTGTAAAGGAGGCTATCAGCGATGAGGAGATGGACGCGAAATACGGTGTACATAAGTGGGATATTAGCTGAGAAACTCAACACCAAGGTTTCTATATAACTTTCCTAATTGGGACTGAGCCCATCAAGCCGAGCGAGCTGACAGCCCTGTTTCAGCCAATCCGAGCGAGCCGAGCGAGCTGCTGGCCTCCGCTCAATTGGCTGAGCAAGCCAATTGGCTGAGCTCGCTCAGCTTGCTCATTGACATCTGTGGCAGTGTCGTTATGCTGTGTTGCAGTATATGCAGTCAATCAAAGTGTAACCGCGCGAGGCAGTAATCAGAGTATATTGTGTATTGTCTGTTGTCGTGTTGTGTCTGCTCGCCTTTTTACGAAGGCAGCAGCAGGGTCTGTTTACGTGACGTATCTATGATACAGCTAAGGTAAGAGGTGCTCAATAAAGAGAGGAAGCAGCACCAGACCACCAACACGTGATCTGCTTCTCCTCATAACCGTCACATGCTGAGTGAATTTGGAAGACTGCCATCAGAGTCCGTATAATAGCCGCTCGTAGTGCTACTGCTGCGAATGTGTGGGCCACCTCGGCACGAGAACAAGAACGGGCGGTAACCAACCCAGAACAAGCGAGTACCCATTGGTGGGAGAGAGAGGACTTTCTTGGTATCTTTGTCAACCCCAGCTTCTTGCATGCCACCACGGTACATCTTGCTTATTTGACGATGGAATTCATCCTGATCATTCACTCCTGCAGTAACCAGCACGGCACTCCGAGAGTGACTGTCTAGGATAACATTGGAGCCCATCCATGTGAGTACATCCTTGGCGATTGGATCTGTATCTGGGATGGTAACTTGGACAGTGAAGGCCCACAGAAAGAAAGCTTTCATATGTTTGTACAGAGGGCGAACGGCTTGGTAGAGACCGATGAGAGCGAGTACCTTCTCGAGATCGCCACCGGGCTTAAGTCGGTAGATTAAGCGTTGTATGAGCTCTAGCACAGGAAAGCGGGACGTGGCGGATCGCTTGAGATGACGCGGAACGTAGCCAGGGGTGTCTATGGGCTCAGGCCATAGATCACCGGATACTTGAAGGTTGGTTATGGTATGTCGGAACGCAAGCTCGGAGCAAGCTCGCTCTGGGATCGGCATACTCGATCGTTCGCGCAGTGAGGTAGCAAGAAATTGGGGGACAAGTATGGTGGAAGAGGTTGTACTCGAGGTTGCGGGAGGCTAAAGAAACAATGCTGGCCCAAAGCAACAAAGATAACGTGACCAAGGTGGCGATAATGGCCAAGGCGGTGACAGGGACCAAGGCAGTGACAGGGACCAAGGCGGTGAGAGTATGGGCAAGTGTATCGCTAAGCGAGTTTAGCGATTGGTAATTGGCGAACAGTAACCAGCAGAAAGAGTATTGAACGGTATTGAAGTGGGACTTTGCGCCTCACTACTAAGTGTGTCCAAATGAAATGTTGCCTGCGCAATTCAATGTGTTTAGATGAGCTTCATGGTATTCACTGCCACTAGTACCGAGTTTATCTCAAAATAAGGATACAGAGTTTCCTTTTTTATGGTAGCGAACGCCTCGAGGCAGTCATGCATTACTTCACTGCAACCAAAGTAGCATCACACATTACGTTAATATAATCTCCTTGGGGAAACATGATAGCATATATGCTTGATTGAAGATGAGTTTGGAATAGAATAGAAACAGTAGTAGTAGTTCAAGTAAGGAACAAGAGCATCTAAGTAGCATAAAATGCGTGATCCCTTGATATACAAAATCTACGGTATGCGCCAGAGAAGCGCATCAGGGGTAAGAACGATAATGTCACTCTCAATAATTTCATGTCACCTCAGTAATAGGCTCCTGCTTTCGAACTTTTCAAATATACGTATTCATTGCGCTCTGCATCCCTGAGCCACAGCTCCGCACTGCCTAAGTGAGAGCGTAGCTCTACTATCACGCTAATATCGACGCTAAACCGTTTTGAGCAAGGTGGGCTGTTTACAGCTGTACGTCATAGGCTGAAAACACCATCATAGCCACTGCGGTACTTTGTAACGAGTCTTCTTCTCACACAATCCACCAAAGCTATTCAAGAATTGTTGGAGGTAACTAAATCTTCCGAAATACACAACAAGCCAAAACTCGCATCTCAGTCAACCATGCCTCCCAAAGCCGCCACCAGCGATCTTCACGTCTCGAAGCTCTTCTCCGTCAAGGACTATATTTGTGTAGTCACAGGAGGTGGCTCTGGTATTGGCCTGATGGCAGCGCAGGCGCTTGCTGCAAACGGCGCAAAGGTATGTATGTTGGCTCGAATTCATGCAGATCTAACAGATATCTAAAGGTGTACATCACTGGTCGACGCCAAGAGGGTAGGTACCGTCCTTTCTAATCGCCGTGACGCGATCACTGACGTTGTTCGTGTCTCAGTGCTTGAAAATGCCGCCAAATCACACAGTCCCGACCAAGGTGGCCAGATCATCCCGCTGTCACCATGTGACGTGACCAAGAAGGACGATCTGGAGCAAATGTACCAGGAGCTAGCATCCAAGGAGCAGTACATCAATCTGCTCGTCGCTGCAGCCGGTATCTCGGGCGAGAAGGGTATCCCGGATGCTGACAAGGCGACTGACATGAAGAAGAAGCTCTTTGACAATGAGACATTCGAGGGCTGGGCTGAGACGTACAACACTGACGTCACGGCCGTCTACTTTTCAACTGTCGTTCTTCTACCCCTTCTACAAGCCGGAACGGAGAGCCACGGCCACCTCTCGGCATCGGTCATTGTCATCAGCTCCATGTCCGGCATCATGAAGGACGCACAGGGCCACTTCAGCTACAACGCGGCCAAGGGTGGTACCGTGCACTTGAGCAAGCTGATGTCAGCCGAATTCCAGAAGCTCCGGATCCGCGTCAACAGCATCGCGCCTGGCTACTTCCCATCAGAGATGACAGCAAAAGAGAGCGACGAAAAGCAGAAGAGCGATTTGCCCGACGAGAAGATTCAGGAGAAGGGCCACGTTCCGCATGGACGGGCGGGAAGCGACGCAGAGATGGCACAGACGGTCATTTTCTTGACCAAGAACTCGTACGTCAACGGACAGATTCTAGCAGTGGATGGTGGTGTGCTCAACGTTGTGAGCTCGTAAGGGAGTGGTGTAGTCGGAGGTCAAGGATAGGATGAGCAAATGCTAAGATTACAAACATGGGAGCTTGACTCGTGCTTAGCTGCTTCGGCATTCCTTGTTGGGCAGATGCGGGTGTTTGGTTCCCCACATTCCCCGCGATAACGCCATCTGCCATGGTGCTTGATTGCGATAACATTGATGATGCGACGCCCCTTGCATACGAGAATGAGGATGACAGGAGCCGTAGTGTGGTCGGAGGTTGTGGCGCGGGGCACGTGAAGACGCGCGAATTGGGCCGACGAAAGGCCAAGAATCAAGTACGCGCCGTAAGTAGGGTGTCAGTAGGTACAGACGAACCGAGGACGAGCGTGCATGCAGTAGTGTTGAAGTAGTGTGGAAGTCAAGTGTGAGAGAAACGTTGTCGAGAGCGGTGATGAACATGGCTGGTCGGCGCTCGGTGCAACGGGCGCTGGTGCTGGTGCTGGTGCTGGCGCGGCAGCTACTGGGCTGCGCTGCGGCCAGCCGAATAGCCCAACAGTCGAGGGCAGCACGGCACACGCAGAACGTCAACCAAGGCCATGCTGGAGCGCCTTTCGCGTGCCTAAAGATATTCAAGCTGGCCGTCTTGGGCGACGAGCCTTTTGATAACAGAAGCCTCTGGTAGGCGGTAGCGACTCTGGAATTCGCACGGCAGGGTACTGTAGCGGTTGTTTCGCCGCCAGGATTCCCAAGGCATAATTGCTTTGCGGTTGGTTACGGCCGCTTCCAACCGCCCTTCAACATTGCGCATGGGCAGCACACAATAGGACGACTATCGACGTCGGTTGGGAAGGCAGTGCGCGTCTAGTTGGTGTTTGGGGACATGCACACGGCAGCGAGTTCAAGACTGCCGCTTCTGCTCGAGAAACAACAGCGCCGCGACCCGGCAGAAAAAAAGCTTCTGGCCCAAACATAAAGAGACGGTAGAAAGAAAGATTGGGAGAGCACTGGGTTTCCATCTATACCAAGACGACGACGACGACCGTCGCCATGGTCTCACACGCACCCAAGCCCGGCCACGCGAAGAAGTCGTCTTCATCCTCCAACCACAATGGCCAACCCCGCGAGCGCGAACAACGGCCAAGCAGAGAGGGGACGGCGCAAAAGGCAGCACAGGATGTGGCAGGCCTTAAGGACTACCAGTTGGGCGACTGCTTGGGCAAAGGCGCTTTCGGCAGCGTTTACAGGGCGCTCAACTGGGGGACAGGCGAAACGGTCGCCATCAAGCAAGTCCGGCTGGAGAACTTGGGCGCGGCCGACCTCAAGAACATGGAGATGGAGATTGATCTGCTCAAGAACCTGAACCATGCCAACATTGTCAAGTACCACGGCTTCGTCAGAAGCTCCGAGAGCTTGTACATTATCCTCGAGTGAGTCTGCCAATTCCAGCTCCAGCACAGTTAACCAAGGCTAATGCGGGCAGGTACTGCGAAAACGGATCGTTGCACAGCATTTGCAAGAACTTTGGAAAATTCCCCGAGAACCTCGTCGCCCTCTACATGTCCCAGGTCCTTCACGGCCTCCTCTACCTCCACGAGCAGGGTGTTATACATCGAGACATCAAGGGTGCGAACATCCTAACCACAAAGGAGGGGCTCGTAAAGCTGGCAGACTTTGGCGTAGCGACAAAGCAATCGGGCCTGGATCAGTCGAGCGTTGTGGGCACACCCTATTGGATGGCGCCCGAGGTCATTGAGCTCTCAGGTGCCACCACGTCGTCAGATATCTGGAGCTTGGGATGCACCGTCATCGAGCTAATCGAAGGGAAGCCGCCATACCACAAGCTACAGCCAATGCAAGCCTTGTTCAGAATCGTCAACGACGAGCACCCGCCAATACCTGGCAGTGCATCTCCTGTCAGTCATCTCTTTCCCGACCACACCACTCCAAAACCTACGTGCTGACCTTTGCAGCTTCTTCGTGAGTTCCTCATGGAATGTTTCCAGAAGAACCCCACACTTCGTATTTCTGCCAAACGACTACTCAAACACCCATGGATCCTTAGCGCCAAGCGCACCGTCCCTGCAGTTCCCACAAAACCGACTGAATACCAGGAAGCAGTCAAGTCTGTACAGGAATGGAATGAAGCCTTGAAGTCTCCCAGCTCTTTACGTAGGAGCTCTCGCCTTTCCACGGGCTTGCAGAGACCCTCACTTGTTGGGGCAAACAGTGCTGGTTCAGGCTCTCGCCCGGCTCCCGTCAATGTCAACCTCAACATACCCAAGCACAGACCTACCGCAGAGTCTTTTCGCTCGCCCGAGTTGGATCATGACGACAACTGGGATAACGATTTCGCTGAGAGCATCTCTCCCCGCGCCTTGCAAATGCCACATCTTAAGCCTCAAGACAACTTCGCCGGGCTCTTCTCAAACGACAGACTCAAGGCCTTTGCCAGTTTTGAGTCCGTCACTGAGCTGCCAGAGTATGGTGACGGCGAGGCTACGGTGAAGAGTCCGGTAAACCTGCATCAGTACCAGAGTTTTCCCAAAGCTTCGGGCCAGAGAGCGAGTGCTAGAGCAAGTGGAGCAAGCAGTAGAGCTGGATCGGCAAGGCCATCTTCGAGATCCACTTCTAGTGCTACTGATTCAGAGTATGAGGAAAGGTATGATGTTCAGCCGAGGACAGCATTTCTCCGGGGCCCGCCGAGGGGTGCTCCACCGCCCCCCAGAGCAAGAGTCGCTGCCCCAGCACGGCCCAGTCAACTATTCCGCGAAGATACCGTGGAGGATTATTCCGACTTGATGCCGGCCGACGAGGGCGCGTTCGAGCGTAAGCTAGCTGCCATGCAGTACGCACAGCCGCCAGCCAAGGTACCCAAACAGATAGTTGTGACCCACTCCAGCTCTCCTTCCGATACCTTCTCGCCGCGCCTGTTCCATCCGAGCGATCTAAAAGCTGGGCCAAAGCTAACGCGGGATGTAAAGTCAAATGGCAGTGTTCATCAGCGATCCACAAGCTCCACATCCATACGCAAGCTGCAAAGGACACAGTCACAGATTGAGATACAAAAGTATGCCGAAGATGAAGGCGATGATTTCTCTGATGTTTTTGGTGATATCAAAGGCCAGCTTGCTAACCCTAGCCGAGCTGAGAGTGACAGCGGCAGTGAACACAGTAGTCTTGCCATGCTTACATCGAAGATGGCAAGCTCCTTCACCATCGCAGACGAGGATGACCTTGATCCATTCGCCAATCTCGACGAGGGACTAGACAACATCAACCTAGAGAACAATGTTGCTCGAGACAGAGACGATCGGCTGACAAAGACAACTGAAAGCCTAGTAGGTTGCTTGAAGACCAGTCAGCCTGACGACGAACTGCTCGATATCGCAGATCAACTACTACAAGTTCTGCACGAGTCGCCCGACAAACGATCAATCATTCTGCGGAGTCACGGCATGCTGCCTATCTTGGAGATCCTGGGGACCAGACCACACAATGAGGTAGTCCTGCCTCTTTTGAAGATCATCAACCTCATCATACTTGAAGACTCTGAAGCACAAGAGAGCCTGTCTTTCTTGGGTGGCATCCCAACAATCTGCTACTTTGCGTCGAAGAAGTTTCCCAGCGACATCCGGAAAGAGGCTGCAGCCTTTGTGCGACAAATGTACCAGACCAGCACGCTGACACTGCAGATGTTCATTGGCTGTGGTGGTATCAACGTGCTAGTAGAGTTCCTGGAAGAGGACATCGACGCTGAGCGTGACTTGGTACTCATTGGTGTGAATGGTGTATTCGGTGTGTTTGAACTGCAGGGACCTACACCGAAGAACGACTTCTGTCGCATCTTCTCCCGGTCGAGTGTGCTCTACCCGCTAAGTCTGGTGTTGAACCGGATGGTTGAGGAAGACGGAGAAGTTGCGCGACTTATTGTCGGCAGGATCGTACAAATCTTCCTCATCTTCTCGCAAGCTGAGAGCCATGTCAAGGATCTTGTGGCAGATCGAATGATCTTGAAGCGTAAGTTATTTTGACCCTTTTCTGTCTATTCGAACTCGCAGAGAACTAACGGTATGCAGGTGTTCTCAAGGACCTTCGCAAAATGTCCCCACCACACCAAATTACTATGCTCAAGTTCATCAAGAACCTGAGCTCGTTGTCCTCCACACATGAAGCCCTCCAAAACTCCAACGCCATCGACATATTGATCGAATTACTCAAGTCGACTCGGCAGAAAGATGCGATGAGTCGCAGCCAGAGCAGGTCCGCTTCTGACCCTAAACGACTCCCTCCTTTCCACCGTGAGATCTCCAACCAGATTCTGAACACCATGTACAATCTATGTCGGCACAACAAGAGCAGGCAAGAAGAGGCGGCACTTTCGGATATTATCCCTCTACTGAAGGAGGTCGTGCGAGAGGGTGGACCACTCAAAGAATTTGCGCTACCCGTGCTGCTCGAGATGGTCAACTCGGGCAAGGTCGCGCGCAAGATGCTGTGGGACGCAAAGGGTCTTGCATTCTACGTATCACTACTTGGCGATCGCAATTGGGCGGTGACTGCCTTGGACGCTATATTCGTCTGGTGCGTATCATCATGTCAACACTTTGCCAAGTACTAACACTCCCTTGTAGGCTCCAAGAAGAAACTGCGCGCGTTGAGCAATACCTTCTTTCTTCCCAATCAAGCTTCACCACCGCCGTCATCTCCGCATACACCTCCGCCGATCTCCCCCAATCCACGTTCGAAAATATGCTCGAGCCGCTGCAAAAGGTTGTCCGTCTATCTCCTCCGATCGCTGCGTCGCTCGCCGTCCCTGAGATCTTCGGTCGCACAGAACAAAAACTTGGGCATAAGGATGCCGTTACACGTCTGAATTTCCTCAGGATTCTGCGGACAATCTGTGATGCAAAGGACGAGGGCTGCTGGCTTATACGGGCATTCGGCTGCTACGAGCGCATTAGCTGGCTCATGGAGCACGATTCTGCGGTGTTGGTGCGGCAGATGGCTGAAGAGCTGGTTCGAGCTTGCGACCAAGTCGAGCATTCGGGCATCAACAAGGGCGTGAATGGCAAGCGAAGCATGAGCCGGGCTTCAGCAGTGAACATGAACATGAACCTACGACGCCCAGCATCATCAGCTGGTCGACGAGATGGCTCAGGCTCAAGTACCGGATCTACACTCGTAAGCTCTGGCATGGGTCTCACACCTCCAACACCCAACTCTCTCAAGAGCACATTCATGCTCCCACAAATGAACACACCAACCAGTCTAGGCAGCGGCCGACACGCGGTTTCGCGCTCCCAGTCATCAGCCGCGATGTGGGATCTCGCCGAAGACCCTTCCGTCCGCCCCCCATCCTCCAGCCGCTCAAAACCCCCCCAACTGACACGCAGCACAACCTCATTCGCCAACCTCCAACAACACGCAAACTCCCCCAATGCAGCACGCACGCCCTCGCGCCCACCCTCACGCGACGCAGCAACAAGCCTCGCCCGCATAGAAGCAAATAACGCTGCGAAATCCTCTTCCCGCCTCCCAAAAGCACGTCCGGGTCGCCTCAACGACGCCATCTCACGCCGCAGACAGTCCAACGTGAACACTGGGCCGGAGAATGAGATTCCAATGCATATTACCACTCCGACACCCACTCCAACACATGCTCCTCCTCCTGCACCGACGACGAATAATACTCCTCACGCCCCGCCGCTTCCTAGACTGCAGATCGTGAGACGCAGGAGGGAGACTAGTGGTGGGGAGATGAGTACAGCTGCTGCGCGTAAAGGCCCCGCTTCCTCTGCTGCTGCGGACTAGAAGTCTGGTGCTGCGACTGCACGCGTGGTATCGGGTTGGTATAGCAACGGGGTTGGCGTTGGTGTCGAGAATGAGCGCAGCGGCGACGGCTGCTGTGCTGGTGAGAGAAGCAGCGATGGCTATCTGACACAAGTGCGTAGACGACGCGGGTATACGGGCGTGTAAAAGCCAGCACTTTCTTATACCTCTTTCCTCCCCCGTCTTCTTAGGTCTTTCCTTTTTCTTTTTTATCTGGACATGGGATTGGGCGGGTTTGCATAGCTGTGCGCATGTGGCGTTTTTTGTTTTACATCGGATGGATGGATAGATCGTGGGTGGTATATGTCGATTCCAAAACATCGATATAGCACATCATCGTGTGCTGGGATCTGGGCAGTCACGGCCCATCCATGGTATAGCTTGTGGTTGGTTGGTTGGCCGGAACTTGCACGAGGGCTGGCTGTTGTTTCCTTTTTTTCTTCTCCTTGTTTCCCAACTATCCACACTGTCTTGTCTGTTCTGTCCGCATAATGGGCGGAGAGTTCCTTTTTTTTCCTTTTTCGTCCGTCCGTCCGTCCTTTTTCACTACTCGGAGCTTGCATAGCATGGCGTTATGAGGATGCGGGGTGAATGGTGAAAGGCGGAATTAAACTGAGGAGAGAGATGATTCGAGCATGAATGAGGTGGGGTATGAGATATCATGACATGCGGATTATGAGTGGAATCAATGTGGTTCTATCTTATTTATGCTGTTGTCTTTGTGCAAATGTGAAGATGTGATGAAGAGCCGTGCGCCTGACTGCGGTCGAAGTGAGATGGGATGGCTGACTAGGTTCTTGTTTCGGTGCATAGGAGGAGGAAAGAGACGATGATCAGACTGATAAGGAGAATCGGTTTCATATGTGCTAGAGTGGAAGGCAGAAAGTATACATAACGAATTGAATATTTTAATAGAACTTTCATTGTTCATTTTCATACGTTCTATATATATACTACATATATATAAGAGGGGAGAGTGTTGTTTCATAACTCGCTGATGGTGTGCATAACCCATCCAGCGCATAAAGATCGGCATCGTCATCATTATCTTGAGACAAAAGGAAAAAGAATCTAGAAATCAACGCTTTTGTTTCCCTGGCCAATTCCTATTGGACCTGCAAGGTGTGTGTGTGTGTGTGTGTGTGTGGGCGTACCATTTGGCGTGGGTGTCATCGCTGTAATTGTGTTGTGTGCATCGGAACTTCCGGCCTCGATCCATTCTTAACATTCCCGAACAAACAATCCAATCGGACTAGGGTTATAATCTTGGAACCAGCTCAGCTCAAAGTCGCCACCACTACAGACTTCATAGCTTAACGGTCCTTCCTCACAGGGCCCACTATCCACTGTCCAGCTGTGGCCAGGTGTCATCTGTACACTTGCGACCTGTGCCTCAGCCTCAGGTTTGTCATCCCAAGTCGACTGTTCTGTTACCGGACCATCAAGCCTAGTGATTGTGCACACTCCACTACCGGAGAGCTTGTAGTCTGACGTCTCGAGCTCGGACTTGAGGGGTAGCATGAAGATTGTGGAACAGGACTTTCCTGCCATGGAGGCGGGAATGTCGAAGTTGAAGAGGGTACAGGTTGTGGCAGAGACCTGGCCATTGTAGGATGATCCAGAGGGTTCAGAAGGACTGGAGGAGGAGACAGGGATTATGAGATGAGGGTATTCGTAAGGGCCGAAAAGGTCTTCGGGACAAGAGGGGTGTGACGGAGAGGACGGGGAGGGGGAGGCAGGAGGTGGTGAATGTGACGGAGGTTGAGGAGAGGACGAAGGCGGAGGAGGCGAAGGAGCTGGAGGCATCTCATCGGGACCCGAGGGTGTCTCTACAGGAGCTGGGTGGGACTCAACTGGAGCTGGATGGGACTCGACAGGGGCTGGATGAGATTCGACGGGAGCTGGATGGGACTCAACGGGAGCTGGCGGCGTTTCTGTGGGAGCTGGTGGGGGCTTGACGGGGGCTGAAGGTGTCTCGACAATGCC